ATGTGTCTCTCTCACATGTGTCTCTCTCTCTCTCTCTCTCTCTCTCTCTCTCTCTCTCTCTCTCTCTCACATGGATGTTTCTCTCTCTCCCTCCCTCCCTCCCTCTCCCCTTCCCACTATATCTGAAGATAAATGGAAAAATATCCTCAGGTGAGGATTAAAAAAGAAGAAAAAGAGGTTCAAAAACTGTGCCCTCAAAGACCCTAGGTACCACAAGGGGGACTCAGGTGCTTCAAATACAGAAGCTCTGCTTTTCGTGGTTTTTTGCACTGAGACTATTTGGAAAAATAATGTCTGTATAAAGAATGTGGTTTGGCCCTGGCCGGATTGGCTCAGCGGTTAAAGCATCGGCCTGAGGTCCAGAGAGACCCGGGTTCAGTTCCCGCTAAGGGCGCGTACCTCGGTCGCAGTTTGTCCCCGGCCCTGGTTGGGTCGTCTGGGTGGCGACCACTCGATGTGTCCCTTTCACGTCGATGTTTCTCTCTCTCTTTCTCCCTGCCACTCTATCTGAAAAAAATATCAAAAAATGTCCTCGGGTGAGGATTAAAAAAAATCATTATAATAAAGGATTTGGTTTGTATTTATGTCATGAAGGCCTTAACTGTGAGTTGGGGGGTGGGGTGGTGAGGGCTGAGAAAAGGCCATTGGATTTGGAGAGAAACCTGGTGGCGACCTAGGTGTAGGCGGTTAGATCTCACCGGTTGCTGGCAGCAGAAACAAATTCTGGCTAGTATAAGCAGAGAAGAAATTTGTGAGAGTGATGTGGGCATGCAGAGGGCATCTAGTCTCCCTTCCTAAAAGGAGCCTTAAGTTAGCCCCTGTTGGATTCTTCACCTTGCAACCAGTAGAACTGGAGGGAAGGCTAAGATAACCCAGCTGGGAAAGAATGGTAAACAAGGCAAAACTGAGTCTTCCCAGGGCACCTTTGAATGAGCACCATGCATTTCCAGGTCTTGTCCATTCATTGCTCAAGGTTAACATTCTAGGGAGAGCATCTGTGTTGACCACCCTTTGTCTGGTGATAGGGCAACCACTTTGATCAGCAAGCCCCACTGCCTCACCTGTCCTAGGTAGAGGAACAGTCATTCCCCCAAAACAAAATCAGGGTACTGTCATCAGAAAAAGGACAAACAGATGCTAGGTAACAAAACAACAAAATAGCCAATATAGTCAGGGAGAGAGTTTTCTGTGAAGACAGTTTGTGTGGGTCCAATGGTCCAAGAGGATGAGGCCCCATTGTATAGTTAAAGCCGCCCTGTTTGTTCCTCGGAATTTTTTTAATCTTCAAGGTTAACTTGTTTATAGTCATCTCAGAGTGGGTGTGTCTACATCTGACTAATGTCACCTCCCATTGTAAACCTTTCCTTCTTTTCTAGTTCCTTTCTTCCTTTTCTTCCCTGATAAATATTATTTTATGCTCATGAAGTCATGTCCAAAATCTTTGATGCATCATCTATGCTAACCTCAGATGTGTGTGTGCGTGTGTGTGTGCACAAAATTGAAGTCACTGGGACTGCATGACTAAAAGCTTTTGACAAGTGTCTTCCTTCTGATTTACTGGCTGTGTTTCTTCCAGTAAGTCACTTTCAGAGTTGAATTTCAGTCTCTTCGCCTGTAATACAGGAATAACAATACTTAATTCATAAGACTGTTAAGGGAACACTAGCTACCTTTCACGGAGGTCACAATTTTCAGCATCCTCCACGCCAGGCAAGTACTGTGAATGGAAGTAGTTGGAGTGGGGTGAGGGCATGTGAGACAATAGGAGCAGCGGAGATGATAGGAAAGTGGAAAGAATTCTCCCCTCGGAAAATGAGAGCAGTATCAGCATCACCTGGAAACCAGTTGGAATGCAAGTTCTCAGCTCCCACCTGTCAAAATCAAAGGCATCTGCAGGCTTTGCTAGAGATAAATGATAAAGTTTATTCAAGAGTCTTAGGATTTGCAAACTGGAAACAGAACTAGGAAAAGGCCCAGAGTGTTCCAAAGAAGGAAGAAAAGAGTTCTTACAGTAAAAAGTACATTCTTGAGAATAATCAGTCGTCCATCTTTAGACTGATCTACGATGGTTAAAGATTAGATGCCAGGTAGTCTGAACGACAAGCGACAGGAGGTCTGCTCATGCCCAGTGATCTGGCAAATGGATGTCAGATGGTCTGGGTATGAGTCCTTCAGGGGGTAATCAGAGGGTTATCTGGAGGTTTGATATATAGCCAGGCATTGACGCGGGACTGAAAGTTCAAAAGTTTAAGTTCCCAGGCTCGTTAAAGTAAGAATTGAATCATTTCCTCATATCTCAATCTACTTGATTTTAGCGATTCAGCAGCTTGACTATGGTGACTCCATTTTATTCCTTCACTCTCTGCCTCACATCCCAGACCTACCGAATCAAAACTCTGGGGGTAGCCCCGGCCGGTTTGGCTCAGCAGTTGGAGCATTGGCCTGCAGACCAGAGAGTCCCAGGTTCAGTTCCTGCTAGGGGCACGTACCCAAACAAAAACACCAAAAAACACAAAAACAAAACTCTGGGGGTAGAGATCTCCAAATCCATGTCGTAACAAATTCTCCAAGTGATTCTGATATTTGCTCAAATTTGAGACCCACTTACTGCTCTGTAAGACTACAGGACTGTGTCTTCAGATCTTTCACTTTTCCCAGGAGAAGCTAGAAATTTATTTTTATGTATTTGAAATCCCCTGCTTTCAAATCTTGACAACAAATTCAAAGTTTTTAAATATACTGTGTGGGCTAACAATAGATATGTTTTAGCTAGATTTGCAACCCCTGGTTTATGCCTTTCCCCTTTAATCCTTAAAACAAGATGTAAGAAGATGTCGGTCCAAAAAGCAAAGTGTCACTTTAAGTCAATAGCCAGGAAGTGGTCAGTCCCTGCTTTGGACCTGAAATTATTTGGTTGTAAAGCCTCTGCCCTTTTTACTTTTTGTGTAGAAGAGAAAATATATCAATGTCCCTAGCACAGAGACTACCATCACAAAAGAGAAAAATGGCCATTGACTGATGAAACTTTCTTCTCCATCCTCTGCCCCACCCCATCCTTGCAGCCTCAGGCCAACCCTCATTCCTGTAAAAGAGTCAATCTGCGGGGAAGCCCATGAGGGCTGGGAGAGGTGAGGCTGGGCAGTTTCCTGGCCTGAGGAGCTGGGTAGGTCCCAGAAGAAAGCTGTGGGCAGCAATACCTAAGGCTAAATGTCCAGTAGCCGCCAGCTGGGTCCACAGGCTAAAACTGGCTGCTCACCAAAGAGTCCTCTGTGTGCCCTAGACTGCGTTTCAGGAGCTCACCCAGCCTTGTGCCCCCACCTGGCTCCTGCTTCATTGCTGTTGACGTCTCTGAGCTCAGAGTAAACAGTCCTGGCCCCGCCCAATGAAGGCATGTTTCTTGTCCCCAGGCTGGGCATGGGAAGTTGGGGGAGGCATTCTCAGCCTTATCTGTCTGTGGAGAGTGGCTGGAGGTGAGCCCTGCTCACCTGTCATCCCAATGGTCACTGCCCCAGGGCCCCTAGCAGGGGTGGGAAGCTTTTTTCTGCCGGGGGCCATTTGGATATTTATTAACATCATTCAGGGGCCATACAAAATTATCAACTTAAAAATTAGCCTGCTGTATTTGGTCAGGCTAATTTGGTGAGGTGTGTGATGTTAGCCGGTATTGATTTCACAGGCCTTATGTGGCCCGTGGGCCGGACGTCCCCACCCCTGACCTATAGCCTGCAGCAGCAAAGACTTCCTGGGACTTATAGAACCTCAGATCCTTGGAGCAGGAAGGATATTGAAAGGCACTCCGTGTCTAACTCCCTGAGTAACTCTGTCTTGGCATTTGCCAGCCTGGATTCTAAAGCTTATATATACTTATCAGTCTCCTTAGTAACAGTAGACGCCATTTATCCATTACGTGTCAGGGCTGGGTCCCTATGTCGGTCATGTGGACAAGTACACAGCTATTCCATGTCAGAAACATTACATTCTTGTTCTCATTGAATTCTGATACTATTATCATTTTTGTAGATGACAAAATGACATCTCAGAACAGGGAAGTGATTCATTCCAGGTCCCTCGGCTGAAAAGTGGTGGAGGTCATCAAATCCAGACCCTGTCACCGTAAGACCAATGCAGGAAGGTTCCTTTGATTACTTTCTCTCAACCAAGTGTCTTGCCCGATATGTGTCCCATAGTGGGCACCTAGAGAATATTTATGATGGGATGGGGAAAGCAAGGGCTTGGACAAGGACACCTGGATTCAAAACCTTGTTTCTATAGCATTACAGGGAGCTTGCTGGGGAGGGGTCTAAATCTCCCAGCATCCAGTTCATCTGTCTTATACTGATAATACTCTCTGTTGGTAGGAATCCTGGGAAGATGGAGGCTCCATGAGACAGTGAGCAGAGGCTGGTTTAGAGTCAGCCTGATAGACTGCTGGTGTGGAAAAGGGAGGAAGAAACACCCCAAATGGCTGCAGACTGTTAACAGGTTTGTGGGTCTCCGTCTCTTGTGTCAAATGGGTTCATTTATTCATAACAACCGCTTTTTTTATAGCCTTTACTATGTGCTCTGCATCACTACACCGGACTTCCATCACTAACCCCTGACCCCAAATCCAACCGTTTAATCCCCAGTACCCATAGCCTCCCTGTGGGCCCTGCCCTTCCCCTCTTCCTCCGGCTCTGAGCATTATGGGGAGTCTTGGAATGGGCCTGAGCCTCTCCTCCCGCCGCCCTGTCCTCGGGCCCCAAGAGGGCGGAGGCGGAGGAAACGTGGACAAGGGTCCGGCTGCAGCTGGTCAAGCTGGGCCTGCCTGGAAGCTGATTAGGTTCCTGGTTCCCACCGGGGCCAAGAGTGACACCTGATCCCAGGGGATTGTGAAACGGCAGGAGGTGGCCGCCCGCCCGTGGTGCAGAGCAGTCTACCCCGCCGGCTCGCCCCGCCCCTACCCCACGCCCCCCGCGCGCGCTGTTAAATCCCCCCATCCGGGGGCAGCGGCTCTCACCTGCACCCCGCCGGGCGCAGCACCATGACGACCTGCCGCCTCGGTCTGCTCCTCGCAGCCCTCCTCCTGGGCCTGCTGCTGGGCTTTTTCCCGGTCACAAGTGAGTGGGGCAGGGAGAGGCCGGGCCAGGAACGCCAGGAGGGAGCAGGGCAGAGGCGTAGCCTCTCTGCAGGCTGGAGAAGTGGGGGATCCTGAGATAGAAGTGGGGAGACCCATAAAGACGAAAATTTGGGGAGCCATGGTGTCTAAGATGGTGACCCTTGGAGTTTAGGGTGTGGGGTCCAAAGTACTGGAGGCGGGAAGAGGCTTTGTGCTGAAGGTGGAGCCTGTGTCCGGAGGGGTCCCTCCGCCTAGACGCCGGTAGCTCCTAGACAGTCAGCTGTGCGGGATCCCCTGAGGATAGAGGGATCTGGGCCAAGGGTTGGGTAACTCCTGTACCCTTCCTTCGGTGTTCGGAGCCCCAGGCCTGGAAGCAGCGTCCGCCGAAGGCTGTAAGGGGAGCGCCTAGGGCCAACACTGAGAATTCCTTGAAGCTTGAGATCCGGGGTCCCCGGAGCAGGAGGTGGGCATCCTCCGGGACCCGGGCTCTGGTCTCCACTGACCGTCCTCAACCTCCCTCCCAGGCACAGCAGTGAAACCGGGCGTGTGCCCCGAGCTGGAGGAGGAAGGGAACTGCACGCAGGAGTGCGGCTCGGACACAGAATGCCCGGACAACCTCAAGTGCTGCCGCGCGGGCTGCGCCATGCTCTGCCAAATGCCCAATGGTAACTCCCGGCGGGGCGCGGCGGGGCGGGCGCAGGGCGGAGGCGGGAGCCTCCGGGTTCCAGGAAGGGGGACGCGCCAGGACCCAGGGACCCCTGGCCAAGTCCAGGCGGATGGAACTAGATCGATCCGCACTCTCCCTTGCTTGTCCCTGGGGAGACAAAGAAGTCAGTGAGGCGCAGCGAGAGGTCGGGGAGGCCCCCACCCCTACCTGTATTTCAATCTCTGGTGCGTGACGGGCTTCCGGGCACGCACAGCAAGGACGTTGTTCTGGCAGGCGGGGAAGTCCAGAGCTGGCCAGTGACATGGGCTCCAAGGCCTGGGCACTCATCCCTCTCAAAGTCCTTTCCCTGCGGCCTCCCTCAGCCCCAGGAGTAGGATATGGGACGCCTGGCCTGGCCAGATTTCCCGGATTACCCTATCCAGGCAGGAGGCGATCTTACAGGGTTAGGAAAGAGGAAAGTTCTTGCCCAGTCACACTGCCAGATCTTGGTTCAGCAGGAGTCATGGCCAGAGGGGTTCAACTTTCCCCAGTGGATTGAAGGAAGTCAGGACTCTTCCTTGAACACTCCTCTCCCATCCTCATCTTTAAAACAACCTCTTCACTCCAGGGAGTGAGTGAGAGAATGTGTGAGAAAGCTTGGCGCTCACGTCTCCCCACTAGGCCCTGGGACTCCATCAGAGCAGGAAGTGGCATTAGACAGCATGGAATCCAAGCTTCTGGGTTTGCACAGGGAAAAACTGAGGACTAGAGGCAAGGCTATGACCTGGGGTACCAACTACTGTGATTACTGGTCCTTGTCCAGAATATAACCCTGTGATGTTCCCTCTTTGTTACTTCTGCAAAGATGCCAGCAGGGGCTGGGAAGGTTGGTAGTTAGAGACCTCAGACACTTATGATCAGGGAGGTGGGAGGTAGAGAAAGGACTGGCCCATGGGCCTCTAATCTGGACCAGTGAGAGGAGGAACAGAAGGAGAGGTGGAGACCAGGAGAGAAAGCAGGAGGCACACAGACAGATGAGAGAAGTGGATTGGGGAAAAAAGGAGTCTCTGCTGTTAGATAGTGTCTTTGCTGTTCCCTTGTCTCAGATGGACAGACTGAGGCAGGAAGAGGGCCAGGGCCAGACGGCCTCCTGAACTAGAATCCTGGTTCTGCCACCTGCTAGTTGTGTGATTCTGAGCAAGTCACTTTACCTCTCTGAGCCTCTGCTTTCTCCTCTCTACTCAAACTTCATAGGAATGATATAAAGGCTAAATAAAATAATATGTGTAAAATATCTTAATAGGAGTAGATTCTCTATACACAGCGCCTTGTTTCATCTATACACAGCGCCTTGTTTGAAAAAGGCAGGAGCTCTGGAACGGCAGCAGGGTATCCAGAGCTCCTGCCTTTTTCAAAGGAATGTATTTTTGTGTGCTAGAAAGTCGGCCACTCCTGTTCTGCAGCTCGTCACCCAATTCTGTGCTGCTGTTTGACATTTGACTGGGCTTGCTCCTGGGGTTTTTGGAAAGTCAGCTGAGTTCCCTTCTCCTTTACCCAGGAAGTGGAGCATGGTGTGTGTATGAGAGAGAGAGAGAGAGAGAGAGAGAGAGAGAGAGAGAGAGAGAGAAACACAGATATTGGAAGGCTTGGCTCAGGCCTTGGTTTTACTTTTGACCAGCGGTGTGATGTTGGGTTGTGCCTTCACATCCCGTGCCTCATTTTCTTCATCTGTGATAAGAACAGGGTCATAAATATCCCCTACAGAGGAGATATTGGATGTGAAGATTAAAGGAGATAATGAGGCCCAGTCGGGGTGGCTCAGTGGTTGAGCACTGACCCATGCACCAAGAGGTCACTGGTTCGATTCCCGGTCAGGGCAGGTTGTGGGCCTGATCCCCAGTGGGGGACATGCAGGAGGCAGCCAATCGATGTTTCTATCGCTCTCCCTCTCCCTTCTCTCTCTAAAAGAAAATCAATAAAGAAAATAAATAAAAGAGATAATGTGTTTACACAAAGAACATTGTAAGCGGCACACCTCTGCAGCCATAGCCGTGTGTGTGTGTGTGTGTGTGTGTGTGTGTGTGTGTGTTGGTGGAAGAATGCTTGTCTGTGTGTGGATGAGGAGTGTGGATGGGGTCACGGTGCTCCTGGTTGTAAATGGGAATGAGTATATGGAAGTGGGTAAAGAGATTGTGGGTGTGTGACCCCTCACATGTGCACCACAGTTTGCGGTTTACAAAGCAGCACAGTGCATGGCGCATAGACTCAGAAGCCAGATTCCTGGCTTTCACATCCTGTCTCTATCCTGTATGACCTAAAGAAAATTGCTTAACCTTTTGGTGCCTCGGTTTTCTCATCTGTAACATGAGAAAATGGTGACAATACTTCTCCCCCTCCTTTAGGACCATTGTGAGGATTAAGTGAGTTAATACACAAGTTAATATGCATCAAGTGCTTAGAATAACCACTGACACATAGAAGGAGCTAAGTAAATGTGGACTGTTCTAATTACTCATCATTATTGTTGTTGCAAAGGAGTTTGATTTTTCAGGGAGAATTCCTACAGGCCTATTGCCCCCATTACTTTTGCAACAACCCCTGACATGGGCAGCACTGTGCTGGGGCTCTGGGACATTCTGGTCCTAGGCCACAAAGTCAGGAAAAGGCAGAGCTGGGACTCTGAGGTCCTGTGATTCTGGAACCAGTGACGGAGGGAACCTGTGGGGGAGGGGTTTGCAGGTGATCTTCCAAGGAGAGGGGTGCTGGGAGGTCAGGCTGTGGATACCCTTGGCATATCCCTCCACCCACTGCCCCTTACTCCTTCTTCTGTGCAGAAAAGCCCGGCTCCTGCCCCAGGGTGGACTTCCCCTTGACCCCGCTTGGCATCTGCCGGGACCAGTGCCAGGTGGACAGCCAGTGTCCCGACCAGATGAAATGCTGCCGCAATGGTTGCGGGAAGGTGTCCTGCCTCACACCTGTCTTCTGAGGTAGGTGGGAGGAAGGAAGTGCCCTGATGCCCAGATATGATGACACCTGCAGGAGGTGGAGAAGGAGGCCCTGGCGAACCTACTTCTGTCCATGCAACAGGTGTTCCCTGAGCATCTATCACGTGCCACGCTCTGCTCTAGGGGATGCTTCATGAGTGAACGAACCAGACGGCAGTTTCTCTGATGGGTTTACAGCTAGCGGACAATAAACAAAACCAGCACATGGAGTGTTAGAGGGAGCTGAGTGCCGGAGAGGAAAAGAAAACTGAAGGGGGATGAGGAGTACTGGGGTGGGATGGGGTGGACAGGGAGCAGGGTTGTCTTTTTTATGTGCCATCTAGAAGGTACTGAGCGGGGAGCCATGAGGGCATCTGGGAGAATGTTCCAGGCTGAGGTGCTAAAGCAGGAGCACCCTGGTGCGTTTCTGGAAAAGCCAGAGGCTGGAGCCAATAGGAGGAGAGGGTCGGAGAGGGACGGAGTAAGTCAACAGCTCCTAGGGGCCTGACAGGCCCTTGGAAGGACTTTGGTCTTGACCCAGAGATGTCGCACCCTTGGAAACGGACACGCTCCGACTTAGTTTGAAAGGCCTGCTCTGGCTGCTGTGTGGGGAATAGACTGTGGGGACAGTGGCAGAAGCAGGGAGGCCACCAGGAGGCTCCTGCAAGGGACCAGGTGGGAGATGACAGACCAGGGGAGATGAGCGGCTGGGTTTTGGGACATGTGTGAAGGTAGAAGAAACAATATTTGCTGGTGAATTGGCCTGTGAGGGAACGAGATTTACTCCTTCGTTTCCTAACAGGGCATCTAAATAAGTCAGCAGCCGGAGGAGCAGCTGTACCTTGGGGGAGGGAACAGTGGCCGAAGGGCCCCTGGGAAGCTCCTTGCAGGGCCAGTGAGAGGCAGAAGAGTTGATCTTTACTTCTGCCAAGACTCGTGGTTTCAGGACGGACAGGCAGACATCGGTGGACTTCAGCTGAGGTCGTCAGGTGCGCGCCTGCAGTGTGCTGAGCAGTTCTGAGCAGGCCGGGGCTATTGGCCTCTAGTGGCTCTGACGTTAAATGGAAGGATGCTGGAGTCTCTCTGTCCCCATCTATAATTAAAAATAAAACAGTATAGGCCCCGGCCTGTTTGGCTCAGCAGTTTGAGCTTCAGCCTGTGGACCAGAGAGTCCCGGGTTCGGTTTCCGCTAAGGGCACATACCAAAAAAAAAAAAAAAAAAAAAACCCAACAGCAAAAAAAACAGTATCGCCCTGGCTAGTTTGGCTCAGCGGTTGGAGCGTCGGCCTGCGGACCAAAGAGTCACAGGTTCAATTCTGGTCAAGGGCATGTGCCTCGGTTTCGCTTCATCCTTGGCCCTGGTCGGGCTCATGCAGGACATGACCAGTCAATGTGTCTCTCTCACCTCGATGTCTCTCTCTCTCCCTTTCTTTCTCCCTCCCACTCTATCTGATGATAAAAGGAAAAATATTCTCGGGTGAGGATTAAAAAATAATAATAATAATTAAAACAATATCAAGTCCTACAGTAAGTGTAAGGAATGAAAGCAAAACAAAACCCAACTACACGCTCCGCAGGCCCCCTGGGCGGTCCAGTGCTGGGCCACCGGCTCTGTGGCAGGTGCTGGGACGAAGGTGACTGCTGCCTTCCTCACGGAGCTCGCAGCTGGGGGCCGAGATGGACAGATGGACGGACGTTCCCAGTGCTGCCGGGGAGGAAGGGCGGCTGCTGTGGGAACAGAGGGGAGGACTGGGAGAGGGTGCAGCAGGCTCCCGGAGGGCTGACCCCGAGCCAGTCCTAAAGGATGCGAGCAAGGTGGCCAGTCTGGGGAAGCACAGTGAGGAAGGAGGCTGTTCTAGGCAGAGGAAACAGATGAGCAAGAACCTGGCAGTGCCCTTTGGTTGAAATCTCATTGTTGATCTGCCGCCCCCCCCCCCCCCGCTTATTTTTTTATGCTCACCCAAGGACATTTTTCGATATTTTGTTCAGATAGAGTGGGAGGGAGAGAGAGAGAGAAACATCGACGTGAAAGGGACACATCGAGTGGCTGCCACCCACACGATCCAACCAGGGCCGGGGACAAACTGCAACCGAGGTACGTGCCCTTAGCGGGAACCGAACCCGGGTCTCTCCAGACCGCAGGCCGACGCTCTAAGCGCTGAGCCAAACCGGCCAGGGCGATCTGCTGCCTTGGACAGGCTCTCAGCCAAGGGGCAGGCAGGTCACCACGGAACCCAGTATTGCACAGGTAAGACAAAAGCCCAGAGAAGGGACGAGCTCAAGGCCCCGTGGTTGCTACTTCACGGCAAGACCGTCAGTGCGGAGAGGGAACCACGGTCTCCCTAGGGCCCAGCGCTCTCCAGTGATGCCGACCCTCTCTCACCTCCTTGAGTGCCAACAGCATGGCCAGACGTTTGAGTCAGGAAGACACAGCTTCAGATTTCAGCTGACACTTAACTACTCTTTCACCTCCCCGAGCTGCAATTATTTCACTTCTACGAGATCAATGAGATCTTCTTTGATCAGCTAATCCCAGCTGAACCCAAAGAATGGAGGCATGGTGGCATTTCCTGGTGGTCGAGGGACACGGAGATAAGTGACAGTGGTCCCAGGAAGGCCACACAGTCAGCTGGGACCATGGTATAGCCAGCTGTGTCCGAGGACTGGTCTGAAGCAGAGGAGTGAAGTGCCCGGGGCCTCAGGAAGGTAGAGTGGGGGTGGAGGAGGGAGGGGAGAGTGTGATGGAGTCGGGGAAGCCTTGGTCCGGAATTTAAGCTGCAGGTACTCTTGCTTAGTGTTGTGGATATTGCTGTTGATGGTTTTATTCTGTTTTCTCCCTGCAGTTTCAGCCACCACAGCCTGAGAATGAGGGAGTGGAAGTCTGCCCGGCCCTGTCCGGCGGCAGCCCCGCTGCCTTCCCCTTTCTGGCCTCTGTCTCCCTCCTGTGCTGACCACCATTTCCTTCTCCGGCCAATAAAGTGACCACTTCCAGCACGGCTGGGGCTGTGGCCTCCATTCTTACTCTGTCCCTGCCTCTGACTCTGGGTTGGAATGGGATTGGGGGGGGGCCGGGCAGCGACAAGATCATCTAGGCTCAAAGTCGAGAGAGGGATCAGCTCGGAAAAATGAACATATTTACAGGGCTCGGCTCATGTGCGCTTGGTGGTTATTCTCCCAGGATGACGGGAGGGAAAACTCGGGCTCAGAGAGGGTGGAGTGCTCCTGAGGCCACACCGATCCTTGCTGGGTCTGATAACTGCAGCAGCAGCATGTTCCATGCTCCAGAGACAGGGCTGGGAGGTTCCCGGATGGGAGCTCCTGGGTCCGCAGACCACCCAGAGTGGTTGATGGCAGCCCCATGCTGTAGACCAGGACTCCCCCTCCAAGTTACCAGCTCACGGCCACAGAGGGAGAAGATGGCAGAGCCAGGGTCCCTTGTTTTAAGTCAAATCATTGTTTGGTATAAACAATATATTCATAGGGGTCAACATTTTAAAGGTAAAAATGAAAAGCATTGTTCACCCTTGACTCCCTGTCTCTAACTCTGGCCACCCAGCTGTTTTTGTGAATGTGGCCCAAATCAGTTTCTGGTGTATCTTTTCAGAGATACAGTGCCGTCTCTCTGTGTAGCCTCTCCCTATTCCTCCGCCTCTCTCCCTATTCCTTCTCTCTCTTTTCCTCTTTCCTGCTTCCCCCTCCATCCCTTTCTCTATCCCTCTGTCTCCCTAATTTCCTCCTCGAGTCCTCTTTCCTACTCCCCCCTCTTTCCCTTTCTCTCTCTCTCTCTCTCCCTCCCTCCCTCTTCCTCCCTGCCCTGCTCTGTCTAGCCCCATTTCTCTTCCCCCCTCTATCCCTCACTCTATTCTCTTTCTTTCTCTATCCCCATCTTCTCTTTCTAGCACCTCCTTTCTGTCCCCTCTTCTCCATGGCCCTCTCTCTTCATCATCTCTCTATCCCCTTCTCTCAATACTCCCAGGTGTTTTAGGTATTATCGCCTCTAAATCTAATAATGTCTTTTAAACATGGTGTCTGGCATCATCCCCACTGTACATGTTGGGAGACTGAGGAGGCCCAAAACTGGTAAGAAAAAAAGAGGTCTGAACTCAGCCCTCCGCAAAACTGGGCAGCAGGTGCATTCCCAGGAAGCGGTGCTGGATATCGGTGCACAGGTATAAAGATGACCTGGGCAAGGAGGGTGAGCAGCCGGCCCAGGGTGGCTTTGGTGTCTCTGATTGGAAGAAGGAGCCCGGGTAATGGAACCTTGAGGGGTGACCTCACTTCCTTGGTGACAGAACTCCAACAGAAGTTAGAAGTCTGGTAACCAGGCATCCCTATACAGCTCACTTGACAGGAGCCGTCAAGAGAACAAGATGTGCCCTGGCTGGTTTGGCGCAGCGGTTAGAGCATCAGCCTGTGGTCCAGAGAGACCGGGGTTCAGTTCCCGCTAAGGGCACATAACTCGGTTGCAGTTTGTCCCTGGCCCTGGTTGGGTCGAGCGGGTGGCGACCACTCGATGTGTCCCTTTCACATTGATGTTTCTCTCCCCCCCCCCCATTCTATCTGAACAAAAAAATGGAAAAATGTCCTCTGGTGAGGATAAAAAAAAACGATTTAAAAAAAAAAAGAGAGCAAGATGTATGTTTGCTGTTTCCCGACTTCCCGAGGCTCTGGGTTGAGGAAAGCCCAGTGTGTCAGCCCAGAGCGAGGGATGTTTCTGTGGCTGTAGATACTGGCACAAACCTCCCCTCTGACGTCATGAGGCACCTTCAGGTAACAGGGCAGGCCAATCCAGGCCAGGCCTCTCTATCTTCTCTCTCTACCTCCTTCTCTTAATACCCCTTCTCTGTTCCTCTACAGCCTCCACACACACCCCTCCACCCCTTCCTTCTACACCCATTTTTCTTTCCTCTTTCCCCCCTCTATTTCTCTCTCTCTCCTTCTCCTTACCCCTCCCTCTCTATGCCTCTTATCTCTATCATCTATCACCATCTCCTGGGGATACATAGATATAAAATCCTCATCCCACCTTTTTACATTTGCTATACACATTGTGTTTTATCTTGCCTTTTTCACTTAATGCATCTTGTCGATCATGCCATAGTAAAGGGCAGGGAACGTCTTCATCCTTTCTTGCGGCTGTAGGGCGTTCCACTGTTTGGATGAACACCCTTTACTGAACCACACTTCTACTATTTCGGTTGCTTTCGACCTTTGGCAGGCCTAGATTTGAACCTGAGTCACCTGATGCCAGTGTCCCATGCTTCCTCCACTGCAGTGATGTCTCACTTTTTTTTTTATCCTCACCCGAGGACATTTTTCCATTTTTTGTTCAGGTAGAGTGGGATAGAGAGAGAGGAACAAAGAGAGAGAGAGAAACATCGATGCGAAAGGAACACATCGAGCGGCTGCCACCCACACAACCTACCAGGGCCGGGGACAAACTGCAACCGAGGTACGTGCCCTTAGCGGGAACCGAACCCGGGTCTCTCAGGACCGCAGGCCGACGCTCTAACCGCTGAGCCAAACCGGCCAGGGCGTGATGTCTCACTTTAATCCATGGGGTGTGGGCTTAGCTTTTGGGCTGCGGAGGAGGGAAAGGATGGAAGTCATGGCAGTGACTCTGGCCCCCAGGACAGTCATGCCTCCTGTTAATCCACCCACTGCGGAATGTGAGAGATCAGGGCAGAGTAAGTGTCACTGTCTGGAGATAGGAGTATGGTGGCTTGGTGTTTGGCCAGCCTTATCTTTCCTATCCTCCGGTGGGTCCGGGCCCCAGGTCATGAGCTAGGCAAGAACCAAGGGCTTCTCCATCCACGCCCTCTGGGGTACAAGGTGCAGGAGTCTCCTGGATGAGAGTAGGAGTGCTCAGTGCATAAGGCTGCCCCCTGGCGATAGATGGCAGTATAGCTTTCCTTCTAACTTCCCCTTTTCTGGTTTCTATCTGTCCATGCTTGGGTCTTCCCAGCCCTTCTGGGCAGAAGCAAAGGCAGCCAGTGATGGGCTGGGTAGAGTTGTTAGGTGCTAAATGTGTGGCTACCACCCCCTCCGCTTCCTCCAGGTTTGCATTCGGAAAGAGAGCCCTGGGCAAGGCCACGTCTAACTCAAGGAGGCAGAGGTCTGTCTTTTGTTCGCATGCCGTCATTCCTTCCACCAGCACCCCCGCAGCAAACTTGTATCACTCATGCAGCAACTTTCACGAGCCCGTAAGTGGCCACAGAATCTTTAAGCCAGGGCTCCAGGCAGCTGCTACCAGCTGTTCATTCATTGGCGTTGGCAGGCAAAGTCGCTGCTCCTGACTTAACTCAAGAAATAAAGGGCCAACAGTGGGATATCAGCCTGGTGCTTGAGGTTCTGCTGAGTGAGAAGGCTGCACCCTGACTGGGGGCCGAGGGAGACGGAACCTCAGGCCCTCTACCAGAACCTTAAGAGGGGCTGGGGCTTTTTCAGGGGGCCTCCTGGGGAAGATGAGGTGGGGAGAACCAGGGTGGAGATCAGGAAGCATGCCAGGGATGAACAGGAAGAATCACCTGGGAAGGAAGGTTGCGGGGTGGAGCGAGTCAGGTGAGAAATCTGGCTGGGGGATTAAGAGGAGCCCCTGGCCTAGGATCTTTCTTTGACCAACTTTGGCAGCCAAGTGGCTGCTGCAGGTTGGGGACGCTGAAGGTCTTTGGCTGAGGAGGGGGAAGAGGACAGAAGGAGGGGCTCCAGTCTGGTCCGTTCCCCCCCCTCTTCCAGGTCTTGATGGGCTCAGGGCTAGGAGGATGGCTCCAGGGCCAGGAATCCTGGTAAACTGCCGGCTCCAGATGGAACTGAGCCTCGCAGCTCCTCCCAGAACTGCTCAGAGCAGGGTTTCTTCCTGCTCACCTTCTCCCATTGCCCGCAGCAAGCTACTCTGCTGCCGCCTCTAAACCCAGTCTCCAGGCCACGGGGCGGGGGAGGGGGAGGCCTATGCAGCAGTGCCGCGTGGAAACAAACATCTGTTCTGCAGGGAAGTGCAGATTTGGGGGTGGAGGGAAGTTACAACATAGGAGTGAGCTGGAGCTTAAAAAATGGAATTCTAAGTACAGACCAGAAGATTGCCCTGCCTGAGGGACAGCATACATAGAGGCGCGCTTTCATTTGCTTAGTGTTTACTGAGCTCCTACTATGTGTTTTGTTCTAGGTGGTGGGGATTTGACATCAAGGACGTGTGTGGTGTTGGGGGACTAGTCAATAAATGAATGAACCAACGCATATGTAACACATCAGGTTGTGGAGAACTATTAAGTTAGGTGAGAGGACTAGTGAGTCCAGGGGACGGGTAGAGGTGAGGGGGGTTACTGTGCAGAGGGTGCTCAGGGAGTGTCTCATAAGGTGTCATGCAAGTAGTGAGCGGAAGGAATAAAGACATGAGCCCTGTGACAATCCATGGGGAGAGCGGTCCAAGCCCAGGAAACTTTCAGGGCCAAGGGCCTGAGGTCAGTGTGCTGTGGATGTCTGAGGACCGTCCAGGTGGCTGAGGGGAGATGTGATCCAAGAGGTCGTGTGGGCACAGGTTACCGAGAGCCCTGTGGTCCCTGCAGGGAAACACAGGAGGGTTTGAGCAGAGCGATGACATCATCTGACAACATTTGAAAGAGATCCATCTGGCTGCTATGCTAAGAATAGACTCTGGGGGGGGGGGGGCGATGTGGAAGCAGGGAGAGCAGTTAGGTTGGGGCAGGGAAGAAATGACTTCCTCCCTCTCTCCCGCGCTCTGGCGGTACCAGCTCTGATGGCACCCGCGTGGTTCTGCCTGTCCTGTCCATTAATGCATCTTAGAGAAACTTGGACTTGTGAATTAATCATATAGCAAACACATCAAATGCTCCCTTTCCTTCCCTGTGTTTACTTATTTGATCATTCTACCACAAGGTCATGGCAAAAGTGAGAGGGAGGAGAAAAACTTAAAAACAGACTGCTGGCTGACAAACCTAACCCTATATTCAGTGCTGCAAGGAGCCGGTGAGGGTCTG